ACATTTATTGTATGAATATTTATCTATTAATCTTTTGGTTTATCCATATACATATATTTTTACATTTATCTACATTTTACTTAGATATTTAACATGTTTTTAAATTACCCAATATTTAAGATTCGACGAAACTTTTTAGTTGATATATTTTACAATATTTTATTGTAATAATTTCTAAGTTTCAATTTGATTTTCTGTCTTCTTTCTTTTTCTTGAACCATTCGATTATTGCTTATATCATTTGGAGATCACGAAATTTGATCTGTGGTTCAACAGTTAAATTTAGTCTTTCATCAATTGTGGGGCATCAAATTTAAATTGAAACGAACTGAAAGCCATGCACACACACACAACCATACACACATGCATATACACACATATATATACGCACATATCAGCTCACACCCATTTCACGATCCGTTTGGAATATGCATAATGTGAGTCGCGCATTTTTGAATCCTGAGTATGTGCTTATGTATACAGAGAGAAAGAGCCGCCTGGCTTATGACAGATGCTGCTGCCGCTGCTTCTGCTGCTGATGTTGCAGTTTCAACAAATGTACGCTGACCCTGGCAACTGCAGTGCACAAAGCTCTGCCCAAACAACAATGGTCGAGCGGAGGTCAATTGGAGGCTATATGAGAGAGTAAGTGAGAGGGAGAGAGAGGGAGAGAGGAAAGCTAACAGGTGAGGGTGTGGCAGGAGGAGGCGGAGAGCTGCTCTGGTGAACGCGTTGATCCACAAACGTGTCGTTAACTAAGGCGCAGTGATTTTCAATTGCAGAACGCGACAGAAAACTCTCCGTGTGTGTGTGTGTGGCACGTGTGTGTATGTGTGTGCATAAGCTTATAGGTGCCACTGACACAGCTGTGCATGGGTGGGCGTGTGGGTGTGGCCAGCCTGCCTGCCTGCCTGCCTGCATATTGACAAGTGCGGCCGTTGGGGGATTTATTAAGGCTAACGTATGAAAATTTTGCATACTAAACGCTGCATAAATCGAATTCGCATGCGACAAATAAAAATTGCCCAAAAATGCAAAAACAGCTTCATTTGCAAAACTGTTATATAGCTGTGGGTGCTGGCTGAGTGGGCGGATGGGTGTGAGTGGGTGGATAAATATCGTGTTGCGTCGTTGAGCAGCTTAGGCATAATAAACATACGCAAACGAAAACAAACAAACCGATTTACATATAAACAGTGCAAGAGAAAAAGAGAGCTGGAGAGAGAGAGAGAGAGAGAGAGAGAGAGAGAGGCACAGACATGCATATATACAATTGCAAAACGTATGGCAAGGAAATGTTAAATGACAATAATAACAGCAACAGTAACAATAGCAACAACAGCAACAAGGATACAATAACCTTTCCATTCTCGCACATTCGCCTGATGCCGTTTTGCTGTGCAAATCCTCAAAATACACTACAAAACACATTACACATACACACACTCTCTCGCACACATTCATACATATTGTATTGAGCCATTCACAAATTCAAACAAAATTCAAATCTAACGCACGTTTCTATCCGAACTATCATGCACATGCTACCCACCTGAGCCACGCCAACGTCCGCCCCGCCTCACGCCCCTTATAATTCCTAGCTACCAATTTTGGGTTGGCTGCCTTTCAATTCGGGCAGAGGCAAAACGATTTAGCCAGCAGCTTAACAGCAACAGGGACAATCAAGCAGGGCACAACAACAACAACAACAACAACAGCAGCAGTAGCAGAGGCAAAGTTTTTGGCTCTAATCGCAACGTGCTTTCAATGAGAATGCGAATGCGAATGCAATGTAAACTGATTCACAGAAATATATCGTATATAAATATAATTTATAACATTTAAATAGAAATCCGTTATGTGAAAGAAGTCTAATAAATGCTGCGGCGCCTCAGATGAAGAAAATATTCAGATGTCAACAAATAATTTTTAAAATATTTAAAGCATTGCAAAAAATTATTTTAAAAAAAACCAATATAATATGTATTTAAAAACAATTGTCCAAAAATATTGTCTTTTATTGAAATTTAAAGTGTAAAGAAAATATTTTAAATAATAAAAAAATAATTATTTTAAATGCTTAAAAAAATGTTATGGGATATCTAACAAAGGAAATCATTTAACATTTTTTTTTCTAAGCGTTTTAAAAAAAATTATTATACTAAATCATATTTTAACTTTAATCACAATTTTAAGTTATATGTTTTAAAATTCCATATGAATGTAAATAGCTTTAAATGTATTTTTCTTATGAAAATTGGTATACAAAAATTATAATTTTATATTATAACATTTACGAAATTTTATTTGGTCAGTTTTTGCATTGAAAAATCATTTTAGAATATTTAATTTAAT